ATGGATGGATGGACGTCCACGGCCTACCCCAGTTACCACTACTGTGCATGTGTGTCAAGGACAGAAAGGCAGACGTGGCAGTGGAAGGTGTCAAAGCAGTTTGGAGAGAAAAAACAAAGTAAAGAACAAAAACAAACAAAAAAGAAAACGATTAATCGATTATTAAATTAGTCATCAATTATTAAATTAGTCATCGATTATTTTAATAATCGACTAATCGTGGCAGCCCTAATTACTAATACAAGTTTATAAGTTTGATCAATGTGTTAGCATTACAGGATGTACACAGTTAAAAGAGGCTTCCAGTCAGTTTTTAAAATTCCATCTTCAACGTGTCTTAAGTTGGCATGAGTTGTTTACAATGTTAGTGTGACAGAGCCTTAAATATCTGCTGCCACTCAACATTATGGAGAATGGTTTCAAATCACAGCTTACTATAAACTTTATAAAATAAAAATGTTAGTTTGACTGATGATTTGTCAGTATAATTTTTGAACACAGGGTCACTGATTTAGAGTAGAAAAATATGTCATTTATCAATTGTCACATAAATCGTCATTGGTTAAATGTCACAAATAATTGTGATTAATTTTTAGCTAATATTGTCCAACCCTAATTAAAAATACTTGTAGTGATTTACTATGAACCCCCTCAGAGCTTAAACTACACTGATGTAATTTATAGTTCTTTTTGCTGCTGCATTAAAACTTTATGAGCCAAATTAACCCAAAAATACCATTGTTGGAGATTATTGGAGATCACCATTTGTCTGCTTCTATAAAGTGTTTTAAACAAATCTTTTTTGGTAATATAAAAACTTCCTTCTGAAGAATGATCAAAACATATGGTATTTGTGGACCTGCCAGAAAAAGCAAGTTTTATTGCACACAACAGCGTGCGGCCTCAGAGATGTCAGCCAAAAATCGGATCCAAATAAAAACAAATCCTGTTCAGACTGCAGCATCTCAGGAGGAAACTGTAAACACCAGACAGACATGAATTTACATCCTGCTGAGACATGATTATATTTTTAACACGTCTGAACACATCAAGCCTTTAAATTGAAACAAAAAATTAAACATCCCACAGGGCAACAATAATTTAAAGTGGCATTGAAAATGTAATGGGACCGTGTAACAGCTAGAGTTCCATTCAAAGTCCTCATTATTTAACAATTTCCATCCAATTTTAATGTGAATTTTGAGTGAATGTTTAAAATGTGGAATAAAGGAAAAAAGATGAAATGATGAGTCAGACATGTTTCCATCTACTGACTTGGAGTAAATCAACCAGGCTAACAAAGTGTAATTACATCAGACGTTGACGTTACACATGACTGTAGTAAACAGGAAGTAAAGTCAAACTCACAGGGACACATCTCAGGACAATGGAGAGAAGTTATCAGAAACGTGTTGCTGCTATCAGGAAAACTGTAATTATTCTGTCATATCAACTAGTGTTGGTGATGTTACTGCTGTCTGCAGACGTAGAGAGAGAAATGTAATTCTCTTCACGTTACAGGAATATTCAGAAAGACACAGACAGCAGGAGGAGGGTCCAGCTGCAGCTGCTACAATTACTGGACAGCAGGAACAGCTGATCGAGGTAAATGTTCACTATGTCAGAACTTATTCAGCAAATCTGTTTCCAGCTCACCTTTTGAGCATTAACTCTTTTTTGGGAAAATCAAAAAACCACCTCAAGCAAATGTAAAAACTTCTTTGCGAAATTGAGAAAGTTTTTTTTTAGAATTGTGCCGTTTCCATTCACCTTTTCTAACACAATACTTCAAAATGCTCATAAACACAACTAATGACTGCAATTTTGTCATGCGAGCACCATTACAGTGCATTAGTAGGGTGGGTCATGAGGTCAAATTAGGACAAAGAACAGCCATTAGAATCAMTGAAAACGATAAAAAGTACAATAATGATCTTGAAATCCAGAATGGAGCCTATGTTTCTGAACAAATGGCACTTGGTGCAGCTCTAGTAATAGTTATTGTTCAAAGKCTCCTGTATCAGTTTGAGCTGTGTCTACTGAGGACATCAGGGGTGTGTGAGACACAGAGGGACATGATGCTATGAAATGTAATTACCATTGAGCACGAGAAGGCCGTCAGCCCCGGGGCCTCCAACACGGCCTGACATGAGAAAAACACAAATTACACACACTCACAGATACACATACATATCAGACACACAACACAAGGACAGGACAGGATGGGGCCAAAGACTTTACAAAGGAACGAACACAACAATAAACATGATCACGTTTGAATTTTTGTTGCACAAGAAGAAAYGAAAGCTTTTTATCAGTGTTTACACCAACACACACAGCGGTGTTGTGTTTATAATCCAATCGTGACTGAAACAAATGTGTAAAAAGTACTTTTACTGGCAAAGCAAAAAAAGAAATCAATTGGTTGTTTTTTTTTTCCTGGTGTTTCTTTAATTGGCCCTCTGTACACTGGCTGTAACATCAACCCTGGTCCTCAGGACACRCTGTCCTGCATGTTRTMGAKGTGGCRAGTCCTGCTTCAAACTTTTTAAACCAAACCACGAGTTCACTGCCAATGGTGCCACCTCCTCCCATACACAGCTGCTTCAAGTTAACTGGCATTAATAGAGGTTATAATCATGTGTTGGAAATTTATTATTTGKCTGTATTATTTTTTAATTTTTGAAACTTATGAGAACGTTGTTCTACCAAATCATCATCATGTACATAGTGATTGTTCTGTTAGAAACAATGGGCCTCATGCAAGAACATGTTCGTATTCTTATCCTAAATTTCTCTTACTTTTGTACGTACAAA